TTTTGTGAAAAGCTATGTCTGAAGTGGGCAATCAGTTCCAACACCACACATATGTACGTTTGGCATATGCAAGATTTCTAGCTTCAACTTTTATATATGCTCTTCAGAAAACAGTTTTTGGTATATCATTAATTGGCAATGTTCATCAGACACTATAAAGCTCCGGTGGATAGAGGGTCGAATCCTGAAAGTTGGCAGGCCTCTCATCTTGTTCTACATGTTCTATGAAGAATGAAATTGATCCCAAAGTGATCAACTAATAAACACCGTGATCAAGAGCAAATTGACTTTCAAATTGTATTCAATCAAGTGGGTTCTTTCAGGAGTAAAACATCTACAGTAATATCTAGCAAAGAGATAAATTAGTCACACTTGTATAGCTCTATGCTCCCCCCTTCTCCCTGTTTTTAAAAGAAAATAAGAATTTAAATTCATCCATGAATAAACACCATGATTGTGCTCAATAGTCGAGACAGATCTTTTACAAGTGACTAAAAATAGTAAACTATGTTTAGTGGTGACTTTTAAAGTAGTTAATAATATATTTTTTTTTAATGATACAATAACATTATTTTTTAAATAAAGAATTTATTCCCCAAAGGCTATAATCATCTTATTAATAAGAAGTTAAAAGAGTTACTTCACAAGTTTACTTCAAATAATACTTAATGCATACATATCCCCCAACAACAATGCCTTCTGAATGTCCTAGATTTATGCAGATAACATTATCTTCAATGCAATTCATTTACAACAAAGGGATTTATTTGTGCTCATTCTTCTGTTTCCATGATTAATATGATTCAAGTCTTCTCTAAAGGTGCTTGTACGAGTCCTTCAATATCTCAACTTCCATCTTGCAATAAACATGCCTACAAAGAAGGTTTCACTAAGTGCAAACTGAATTTACATGAAATCTTCAATCTAATGGCATCAATCTTTGCTGATTTGCTTCTCAAATTAAAAGCAATTTGCTCTAAAGTACAAGATTGGCCTATTGTCCATTGGGAGACTTTTTTTATATTTTTTTAGGTTTAAATTCAAGAATCATGATGTTTGAAGAACGATTCTAGCTGCTAGTTATTTGAGCAGAATACTTGGGACAGAGGATAGATGCAAAAGTTATAGAAAGTATGAAATAAAAGATTGGCGATCAACGAAGCTCCGACTGCGACCGACGGCGAGGCCCATGACCTGATTGGATGAAGAACGCGCGGTGGTTAATGGTCTTCGAATTCAAAATCCTTAATTCCCTTTTCAATTCACTCTTTCCCTTACCCTTTTTCAATCCATAATCTATTATTTTAACATAAACCAATTAAATTTTGCCATGTCATAATTCTTTAGTTTAAATAAAAATTTCACATAATAAAATAATGCACATTAGCATAAACATGTCACCATCAACCCAATTGAGACAGTTGAAAACTAGATGATCCACTTGAGATTCTCCAACAAATACGAGGATTATCCGATGATTTAAACCAACAAAATAATAAAAATAAATATGATGATAAATAATGCAATTTAAATAAATAAATATAAAAATAGTAAACAAATAAAAAAAAAGCATAATATATATAAAACATAAAACAAGTCGAACTTCCAACTACAACACTACAAAAACCGGTGTTCAAACTCTGATGCATCTTAAACCGATCTTCCAACGCCGGTTAAGGGTGCTAATGTGCATTTCTCTTTGTATTAACCTCGTGAAAGACTCTCGAAACGCCCGAATCTCTTCCAGCACCTTTTTCTTCCATGAACCATCACAACACGACTACCACGATCACCCCCAATGTATCCTTACAATATAACCTCTCACAAATAAAACGCAATGAAACAAGGAAGGAAGAAATGAAACCGTGACAAAATGAGATGGGGGTACATGACAAGCTTATAATTAATGGTTAACAATGGAGAAATGAGATGGTGTGCATGCAAGAAGTTAGAGTTATAGTACAATAGTACAAAGTTAAGGGTTGTTGGTGGTTGAAAAATTATTAAACCATCATTATATTTTTTCAAATTTTATTAAATAAAAGACAAAACTATCAATTGGGAAGTGTAAGGTAAATCAGGTAAGGTGTAGGAAGAAGCAACACTCCTCTCATAATCTTTTTAAATTGAATGTGTCACAAGAATCCTTTTATAAATCTCTTATAATAATCATTTAAATCCACCAAACTTTATATATCAAATAGAATAACTTTTTCTAGAAAAACTATGAAATGAGAATTCAAAACTCGTCAATAAAAAAATAAAAGTACATTTTTCAAATATTAAAATCACATTTTATCGTGATCATTTATCACATAGTGATTTGTGTCACGGTGACATTTGAGATTATGAACTAAAATAATTAATGAAAAATTTATAAAATTAAAGCATATATTTTTTATTTCCTAAAAATGAAATGAAAGATCACTAAAGGAAGATTGGGCTAATCCCATTAAAAAGTGGGGAGTGTATAGAAAATGGGCCGGATAATCTGGGTGTGATTGTGACCCGCTAGGGTTAAGGTGGTGCTCCGCTATTTGTCCTATATAAATTCAAAACCCTATTTCTTAAACCCTAACTATCAACTTTCAGCTATTCGATTTCCACTTCACCTGTAGCCCTTCGCAACCTCTGCTCTCCAAGATGGCTCCTCCCAGAGGTGATAATACACCTTTTATGCATTTCTTACCAAAAAATATTTTTTTTTCTTCTGGGCATTCAAACTGTGTAGTTTATGCACTTCACATTGAAACTTTATATGGTCATTGCTTGCAGATTCCTTGTAATTTGATGATTTTTTCGGTGTTCGATAATTTTTCATTTTGTTGATGGAGGAAATATGGTTGTTGTTCATATATTTTATATTTGAACTTTATTTAACGGACATCCCGAATGATAATATTTACTCCTCTGCTTCCTTACTCTTCAATGAAGTTTTTCGGCTTGTGATAATTTTTCTGTTGTTGGTAAGAAAATTATGATTATGACATTAGAATTTTATGAAATGGTCTTCGGTGACAGATTTTTTTGCACCCACTCCTCTGCATGCTTTTGATTTTGTTTGTAATTTTCAGTGATTTCGTTTTTATGATAGAAGAATGTAGTAGTGGTAACAGCTTTCTTTTTGTTTAAATTTGTGCAGGTCGTGGTGGTGGTGGAGGTTTCAGGGGTGGTAGGGGTGACAGAGGTAGAGGAAGGGGCGGTGGTGGAAGAGGAGGAGACAGGGGTACGCCATTTAAAGCTAGAGGTGGTGGGAGAGGAGGAGGCAGGGGTGGTGGACGTGGAGGAGGTAGAGGTGGTGGCCGTGGTGGAATGAAGGGAGGGAGCAAGGTCGTGGTTCAACCACATAGACATGAGGGTATTTTTATTGCCAAGGGTAAGGAAGACGCTCTTGTCACTAAGAATCTTGTTCCTGGTGAAGCTGTTTACAATGAGAAAAGAGTCACTGTTCAGGTTATTTTCTTTCTCAATCTCCCGCTCCCTGTCTGTTTTTGATTTAGTAGATGAAGGTTCCAACGTAATTTACATTATCAGAACGAAGATGGTTCCAAAGACGAGTACAGAATTTGGAACCCTTTCCGGTCGAAGTTGGCTGCTGCCATCCTTGGTGGAGTTGATAACATATGGATCGTAAGATTTTTATTCGTTACCTTTACACTGATTTTATTATTTCCTTTTATTCACTATTCTAACATTTTTCTTATCTTTTGCGTTGTACCTTGAAAAGAAACCTGGTGCCAGAGTCCTTTACTTAGGAGCTGCTTCTGGCACAACTGTTTCTCACGTTTCTGACATTGTTGGCCCAGTAAGTGTATTCTGAATTACACAATATTAGTTTTGTGGAAAAAAATAGAAGGGCTGATTATATTCTTTGTATACAGACAGGAGTTGTCTATGCAGTTGAATTTTCTCATAGAAGTGGACGTGATTTGGTCAATATGGCAAAGAAGCGTACTAATGTTATACCCATTATTGAAGATGCCAGACATCCCGCTAAGTACAGGATGTTAGTTGGTATGGTTGATGTCATATTTTCTGATGTTGCCCAGCCTGATCAGGTGTGGTTTAAATACCTTAATCATTCTTGAGAGTGTCTTCTGCCTCACCTTACTAGTTTTGCAAAACTGTGATTTACTTCAATCCTTGTGCCATGTGATTTGTTTATTGCTTTCAATTCATTCACTCTTCTGTTTGGTTGGCAAACACTAGCTTTGCGTGTGTATATTTTTCTTGTTTCTACACCTTTACATTTTGTTATCTTACTATTTTCTTCCTGTATTAAAATTTTATTTGAATAGTCTTTCCAATTGGAACAATCAGTGCTTCTGACAAGTTACTCGGATTCCCCTTCAAGACATCTTTGTTGATGCAGAACCGGGTTTCTGATGCACATTGATTTCAGTGTTTTAATATTGTTGTATAAAGAACTTTGTTTTTTTTAATATTGGCTGTCTCATTGGTTTTTATTTTATTATGCTTGTTTGTGTACCGGTTTTGAATAATTAGGTCCGGGTTTCTGATGCACATTGATTTCAGTGTTTTAATATTGTTGTATAAAGAACTTTGTTTTTTTTAATATTGGCTGTCTCATTGGTTTTTATTTTATTATGCTTGTTTGTGTACCGGTTTTGAATAATTAGGTCCGGGTTTCTGATGCACATTGATTTCAGTGTTTTAATATTGTTGTAAAGAACTTTGTTTTTTTTTTAATATTGGCTGTCTCATTGGTTTTTATTTTATTATGCTTGTTTGTGTACCGGTTTTGAATAATTAGGTCCGGGTTTCTGATGCACATTGATTTCAGTGTTTTAATATTGTTGTAAAGAACTTTGTTTTTTTTTTAATATTGGCTGTCTCATTGGTTTTAATTTTATTATGCTTGTTTGTGTACCGGTTTTGAATAATTAGGTCCGGGATTTTTCTTTAATTTTAGTTTTATTATTGAGTTTGATATTGTGTATTACTCATTTGTCATGTCATTTGTTCATAAGAGTTAACATGTGCACATGACGAGTAACTCGGATTCCCCTTCAAGACATCATGAATGATGCAAACCCGAGTTTCTGATGCACTTCAATTTGTCTTTTAAATATGTTTTTTTTTTTCTTTTTTAATGAACAGCGTTCCACTGACATTTTTTTTGCATTTTCCCCATTCTGTATTAAGGAATGCTTTTTACATTTAAATATTTCGATGAATGAGTTCCAGCTTATACATTTTACAGTTTACTTTTCTTCTGATTTTAATTTTTGGATTCTTTATTTTTTAACCTTTTGCTAGTAGAAATGGGAGATTAAAGCTCACTTAATAGTACGAAACTTTTAGTTAGTTTATATTTCAGCCTTGTTATGTATTTTTTTTTTTACCATTGCAGGCAAGGATTTTGGGGCTCAATGCATCATATTATCTCAAAGCGGGAGGTCATTTTGTTATTTCAATCAAGGTATGATTCTTTCACTATATCCTGTAGTCTGGTCAATGTGGAGAACCTGTGAAAAAGGGTGATCGAAGGTTCCCACTTACTGATGCTGTTTTTTTAACATGGGTCTTTTATATCACGTAACATAAGAAACTTGTGTATGAGTAAAGGGGATCATCCTCTTGGACGTTGTTTATCGTTGTTGTTTGGTGAATGACTGTTAATGGTTATTTTGTGTGTGAATGGTGGTCACTTGCTAAATCATCCTCATTGGTTTGTTAGGCTAACTGCATAGACTCAACAGTTCCTGCGGAGGCAGTGTTTGAAAGCGAAGTGAACAAGTTGAAGGCTGATCAATTCAAGCCATTCGAGCAAGTCACCCTCGAACCATTTGAGAGGGACCATGCTTGTGTTGTTGGTGGATACAGATTGCCTAAGAAGAAAAAAGACACTGCAGCGTAGATTTTGCTTAGTCAGATTAGCCACCAGGCGTGTACCAAATCTCATTTCATGAGACTTTTGTTAATTGTCTTAAAAGTCTGTCTTCAAACAGCTCTATTTTGACCAAAACTTTGTACCTTTAATAGTTAATTAATATTCAAGTTGTCTGCCGACACATTAGTATCTCTTTTCTAACTTCACTTTCCTCCTCTTATCCCACCTTTTGTTTTTATTGTTCACTCTCTCTCTGTCGCTCTCCTTTTCTGTTTATGGTTCATATTTTTTTTATTGTTCATTTTTGTTGTATGGATTTGATTTCCATTTGTTTATTTTCCTCTATTTTTCATTTTCTTTCGTTTAATAGATCTTTAATTTTTTTGGACATTAGGGTTTTCACAGGCAATTTTTTTTATCTGTTTTATACATTTGTTGTATGTTCTTTCTCAGCTGTTTTACTTTATTTTGAACTCACCGTGTTCCTTTTTATGTAAATTATTTATTTTAACCTTTCTGTTATTTTTTTCATGTTGTGTTGTCAACCTTTCTATTATTCTTCGTTCTTTTATTATGCAGCATTGATTGATTAATCAATGTATTTTTGGAGTTTGTATTGATACATGTGTTTGATGTGTATGGTTTTTTACACATTTTTTATTTTGGATTACCTTGCTATCTTGTTTCATTTTTCAAATTTCTTTTGTTTTTAACATGCATTGGTCGGTGATTTTGTGTATATTTTTGTGTCAATAAAAACATCACAGAAGAACACTCACTATTGTGGCATAAAATGGCATAAAAATCTATTTTTTTTGTCCACTTTAACATTTGTGTTATTATTTAATGTGATTTTTCTGAAAAATTGTTGCTTTTTTAAACAATTGTTGGCTGATTTTATATGGGTTGACATAGTTATAAGATTGTTAACACCAAATGGAATAATCTACATTTTAAAGTTATTTTTTTCCCTTTATTAAAACGAATTGCTGTGTTTTTTATTCTTCACAGTTATTCCTATTTTTACAACATGGTCATCTTAAATCACGCTTAATGGATTTTTGTTACTTTTTTATTATAATTTTAAATTAATAAACTTGTATTGCAAACCAAATTTAAATTTGAATTCATATTTAAACTCATTTAATATTATTTCTTACTTTTATATGATTAACGGTATATCATTTTAACTTTAAATTTAAATTCATATTAATATTAATATCGTTTGAACCGGAAAGAGTGTTTCTTCATCTGATTGATTCAATACCCATCATGCGAAATTTCAATTACGATTTATTTTTTAATGTGTTTTAATTATTATATGCCTTTTTTTCTTCAAACCTATTCCTATTTTTATTGTTAATAGGGTTTAATTTTTATATTTATGACACAGTTTTTTAAATTAATGTTATATAAATTTTAATTTAAACTTATATTTATTTATGTAATATGATATTAATTTTTATATTCTTAACGTTATATTAATTTAACTTTAAATAAAATTCATATTAATATTAAATTATTATTCTTATATAATATGATCAATTTTTAATGGCATGATATTACATTGATCACTTCTTTTTTTATAGGTAATATATTCGTTCATGCAATTTTTATGACTTTACTTCTTAAATTCAATATTTGCTTCTTATTTTTATATTCTTAACGTTATATGAATTTAAATTTATGTAATATATTCTTAACGTAGGTAATAAATCTTAATTCATATTTATATTATATTTATGTAATATGTATTTTGTAACATCCTAAAAATACATTCTAAAACTATATGATAAAATAAAAACATTGAATAATAATACAGATCAGTCTTATAATAAAAGACGAGTATGCTTATGGCCGAACGACCTTAGAGAAAGAACTACAGCTAAAACTGTACAAGGGAAAAATCATTTTGACCGAACAGTTACAAAAGCCCATACCGAACGGTCTTTCAAAACAAAGGGATAAGGTGATCGAGCGATCACCTTACTATTAGACTACACTACTGACCGAACGTCCTACTGTTCGGTCTTAACTTCTACTTCTACTAAGTTATCTTCCTCCAGCGCCTCTTCCAGCAGCTCGTCTCCTTCTGCTTACATCCACACGGATGATCATTGCAACAGAAGGACAACCGAACGTACAAAACAGACAAGACAGGAAACACAGGGTAAACTTATATAATTTAATTCATGTATAAACATATATTTCACACAATCAACCAAACAAGATAAATTTTTATCATTCGTTCATACAAAGCCTAATACTAGACTGACTGTCCGAACTGTATGAGATTTGTGTAGCTACGACGTTCGTGCACCCGGGTGATATAGTAACTGGGATACGCTCAACAGCTGCCACCCGAGGTTAGTCCTATCTGTCCAAATTAACCATAAGGACTAGGACCTCCTGTCGTTCCCACACATGACTTACCCTCCTCTACGCGAGGACGAGTAATCACAGAACATCAGGATGAACCGCCAGCTTAGCATGCCCACATTCATACTTTACCAAATCCAATATACATTCATGAGTCATTCCTCCCAGGAACGCTCGTCCATAATCCAAACATTTCATCCATATCATATTATCTTCATCTTTCATTAATAACCATCTAAATTAAACCATTCGTTCAAAGATCACTAAGGGTACAAAAAACCGAACGTTAAACTTTAACTTTTAACGAGACCGAACACTTGGAGTGAGACTGAAAGGTCTCCAGTTCCAGAATAGATTAAGACAGAGAGGGTTACTTTCGGGTTGAGAAAGAAACCGAGTACAATCATATATCACAGGAATGACTACAACGAACATTACTTACAAAGTGAGCCAATTAGATGAACTGACTTTTGAGAGCTCCAACCGAACACTGAAAAGACCATGCCAAGTACTAAGACTCTATGCCGGAACCAATGGATGCAAACACTTCAAGACATCCTAGAAATAATACTTAGAAGAATTCACATGAAGAAACCAAGCGCTTATAAATACCTAACTTATTTGAGTTTAATCATCAAGAAAACCGAATGCCAGTAAATGACCGAACACGGTAGAGAAAAACTCTATTGAGGTTGGACGAATGCTATTTTCATCAAGATATATTATAGGAAAGAGAATGAGCGCTTGGTGTAAGACCGAGCACTACTCAGTAAGAGCGCTTGGTGTAAGACCGAGCACTACTAAACTTATATTAGAAAGCTTGATAAATATAATAAGATACTATTGGAGTAGTGTTTAAGAATAAACGAAAATATACAAATACATATATCTATACTTAAGTTTATAACCGAAAACCAAGAACCAACTATGCTTGGTCAAACGCTCATGCACAGTATTTCGAAACGAAGACGCTCGTCCTCAACTAGGATTCTTCCCAAATGAAAGAATCCAATTCTAACCAAGTTTACTAGAAAAACCCGAATGGTCAAGGACCATTCAGTGACAAACGTACTCTTTCATAGGGGAAATTTATACTTGGAAATCATTTGTCTCAATTCAATTCTCACCATATATCTTCGTAATTTCATACAACCATATCATAGAAATTTTCATATTTCATACAATCCAAACATAGCAACCATCATATATCATATTAATTCAGTCAATTCAACGATCGTTCATGCAATACAAGTAACATACAAATTAAATTAATAAGCTTCCCTTACCTCTCAGCGTGACCGAACGTTTCCAGAGACAGAATACAATTTCACCACTATAGGTTCTTCTACCGTCAATGCTTGACAATTCCAACTACACCAAGTGACAACCAAAACACTCTTAGAACCACTCATTTGGAGAATGGTGAACAACACATGCAACTAGGACTGGGTTTGCATGTCTAGGAAAACGAACGACTAATTGAAGAGAAAGACTTACCAGCTCAGCTTCACAAACCGAACAGTTTATCTGGAAGCTCTTGACGTAGGAAGTACTTCTACGGTGTTTGAACGGAGATCAGAGAAGAGAAAGGGTGATATTTCGTAGAGAGAAGATGAAGGGAATGTAGAGAGAAGGAGGAGAGAATGAGATTCTTTAGAAATCTGGAAAGAGGGTGCATGCAGAGAGTGGAGTAGATTTTCCGAAAATCCAAGTTTTGCTTCCCACGTCAAAACGGACGTCCGCTCATCTGCCAACACCTGCCCTCCACTAACTGAGTGTCGAGCCCTTCGCTTGACACATGTAATCCACTAAAATGGCACGTGCGTGTATTTTAGTGG